ACCCAGGCAGATGCTTCGTTTTGGTGGGGCTGATGCTAAGGCCCCACCTCTTAGTAGCACGCTCCAGTCTCAGCAGCAGCGTCTCCAACTGCTCCTCTGAATGAGCAGCTATTACCAAATCATCGGCATACATAACGTGGTTGAGCAATAGGGAGCCATCCCTTGACCGCACCCGGGCATCGATCAGCCTCCCATTATATCTGTACCATATGGAGATTCCCCCGGTACAGCTATTGAAAGCTTCACGAACTACGTGGTCAAAATAGATGTTAAATAATGTGGGAGCCAGAGGACATCCCTGTCGCACCCCAAGGTATACAGGGAATGGCTCTGACTCCCTGCCACGTAGTTTTACCCGGGCCCACTCACCACTATGAAGGTCCTTAATGATCGTGAGCAGAGGGTCAGGTACTCCAAAAGCACGAAGAACAACCCAGAGTCTAGGCCTACTTATGGTATCATAGGCCTTGACCAGGTCAATAAAGCAGAGATGTAGGTCTTGCTGGAATTCGCTACACCTCTGCTGTAGCAGAGCGACAGAAAATGTGGTATCTGTGCACAACCGCCCTTTCTTGAAACCGCATTGGGGCTCCGCAAGCCTCTCCTCAGCGTGCCTGGCAAGGCGATGTTGAATAATCCTTGCCAGGACCTTTCCCGGCACACTGAGGAGTGAGATGCCCCTGTAGTTGTTTCAGTCTGTGCGGTCCCCCTTCTTCAAGAGGGGGACCACCAGGGCATTCTTCCAATCCTGCGGAACCCGTCCAGTGGCCCAGACTTTTGTTATGATGTCATGTAGGGCAGTCTGCGCACAAATGCCATCCTCCCTCAGCATTTCACCTTTCCTGGTCTCAGACTCTGGATCGCCTTCAGTACTTCCTCAACGGATGCCACTCAGCCAGCTACTCACAGGGGGTGACCTCCTCCTCCAATATTTGAGGCACCGCAACCTCAGCAGGATCATCCCCACTTTGTACCATGATGTTTTCCAGGCTGAAGGATTTCCCCTCCCCCAGGACCTCACAGAAATGCTCAGCAAAACTGCAAACCTGTTCCTGGGGGTCGGAGATTGGATCACCGTTTTTCCCCTAATGATGGTAATAGGTGTGGCGCTGCAAGTTACTTTTTTGATGGCGTTAAATAGGGATTTGTGATCGCGGGCCATTGAGGCAGAATCCATCTCCTCAGCAATCCGCGACCAGCACCCATCCTTGCAGCACCTCACGGCTCTCCGAACCTCTGAGCGAAGGCTGTGGTAAGCCTCCTCATTCTCTGACATGGGATGCTGTAGACGATTAGAGTGGGCCTGTCGCTTTTTCTCAACCATCCGGAACACCTCCTCTGCGGCCAGGGCTCTGGGGAGGTCTGGACCGCGTACCAAAAGCAGCCATTGCAGCTGCATGCGTCACAGTTCTAAACCTCGCCCATTTACCCTCGACAACCGGAGGAGTGGGGGACGATGCCAACCCCAGCCGCAAGCGATGATGAAATTCTCACTTGCAACTTCCATCAGCTAGCTGAGACCAGACCACCTTAGGTTGGAATGGGGTCCTGGGTGTACACCCACCACTGAAGTGGAATAATGGCAGGTGCATCTTACAGATGATCTGGCCCATACCTACCAATCACTCCAGACCAGGTGCCAGCATCATGACCAACTGGGGCATTGAAGTCACTCAACAAGATGACTCTATCCCGAGGGGCCACTTTAGCCAGCACCTGTGACAGGAGGTCATAGAAAGCATCTGACTCATCGGCCTTGCCTGCATCCACGGATGTACACACGAATACAATATATATCTAATTGTACATAAACATGTATAAAGATGCTCCGACGAGACGTTCATGAAGACGAAGTTATGATCTTTATTTTCGTATGTGTGGGAGTTCAAATCTCTTCGACGAGTACTAATCGAGCGTAGCCACCAACTCGTCTTCGTCCCAGGCAAGCGCCTCAACTTTTGGCGATGCTCCCTTTTTATATCTCTCTCCCCATCCTTAATTAGCTACCATCTGTAGTCGCTTGCGACAGGTTCGTTCATCTCCGGATGTTAGACATCCAGCCACCCGTGTTATTAATAATCTTTCCAAAACCTGTTATTTATATTTCCAAAATATTTAGTAGCTATGTGTAACGGTTCTCATCACCCCCGTCCCCCCAGCGAAAAAACAGACGTCCCGGCTATAACATTTCCTCCAATGGTAGGAGATGTCCAATTGTTTTTAAGACAACAGTCTTGGCCCAACGCAATAAATGAATAAGCCTGTGTGCTATGGGAATGCACAAGAGAGAAGAAACCTCTCTCTCTGTCCACCATGGGATTGCTCACCCTGAGGCACGGTTACTGCAAGCCCCAACCGCCATAAGCCCAGGATTCCAGCTATAAACGCTTGTTATAATATAGGACGTCCAATAACTGTTTTAAAGACAACAATCTTGGACCTACGCAAGACATTGATAAGCCCCTGGGCCATGGGCATGCACAAGAGAGAAGGAAGACTTCTCCCTGACTGCCACGGGGTATCTCACCCTGAAGCATGAGTACAAAAAGGCTCAAACAGCACAAGGCTACAAGGCCAGGGGTCATGGAATTCAACCCCCCAAAAGTGATGAGATTCAACTCTCAGCATCCTTGGTCAATGCCAAACACAGGCCCTCGAAAAGGGGAAAAGGCACCACGGCTGATTATGGACTGCATTTCGCAAGCCCAACTAAATTAGATTACCCCTGCGCTTAGTGCCAAATTAAGGAAAACACCCATGCACAACCTACCAACACAACCAGGTGCATTGCCTTCACAAAATTGTTATGCATTTAGTCCACCCGCGTGTGGTTGAAACGGTATGCCTGTCCTGGTGACACAGCTCCCCAGCGCATGCCTGGATGACCCTGAGTCCGCCCGACACCCCCATCCTGCCAGAACTCAAAACCGGCAGAACCTCCTTTATCTCCATTGTGGCCGTGTCTGAGGAGGAGAGGGTGAGAGCATGGTAGCAGCACCTTGCTGGGGCAGATGTCTTCAGGCCCTCTTTACAACACTATTTGGCACGGCAACCCGCAGGCCCAAGAGCACCCCCACTCCACACTAAACCAGAAATCGCCACCCAGCGCAGCGGGCAGCACCTGGAGCACCTCCCCTTCCCTCCACCCATCGACTTCTATCGCAGCCCTGAAGGTCCGCATAGAGGCTGCCTCCACCGGCCGTGAACTCCCCGACTGGCTCCAGCCGGCCTGCTCACCCAGCAAGGGCCCACTGCGGCCAACGAGCGCCCACAGTGGTTCAGCTGGTGGCCACGGTGGCTCAGCAAGTGCTTGGGCCAGTTCAGCGAGTGGTGGTGCAGGGAGCAGCCCCCATCCAGGTTGTGCAGCGCCAGCCCACGGTGCCGCCGGGAATGGCCACCACTCAGGTGCTGCAGGAGCGGTGGCTGTGCAGGCCAAGCAGCCTCGCTGAGCAGTGTTGCAGGGAGCAGCGACTGTGCGGGCCGGGCAGCGTCGGCTCAGGCCGAGCAGCGTCGGCCTGCAGCACTGCGAGAAGCAGCGACTGTGCGTACGTACTGACGCACACAGTACATATTCTGCATCAAATATTGGCGGAAGCAGCCACTCCTTGCGATTGGTTGGATAATGTGTCATCCGTGGCGAAAGTGTGTAGGGCGATTTAGAGCTCAAAATCAGAATTCATTCGAACGTGTTGTGATGGGTACTATAAGATCCGACCATGTCCATCTAGTGCACGCCGAGCTGCATTGGCTTCCTGTTGCCGAAATGATAAATAAGGTCACACTCATTATACACAAAGTGCTTGCCATAAATTAACAATACCTTTCTGAGCTTGTCAAGGAACCTAATTAATCACTCGAACTCCAGTCATCCTCGAAGAGGCTTTTGGTGAGTGATCGAACAAAGATGGTCACTGCATTGTGTGCTTTCAGATGTGCTTCTGTGGTCATCTGAAACGCCCTTCGTTCAAATATTAGGAAGCCACTGGAGCTATGCACTTTCAAATATAGATTAAAACTGATTTCTTTAGAACTGCTTTTTGTGGTTAGTTGTCCATCAACACGTCTATTAGCACGGTAGGCTACATATGGTGCAAAATAAGTTATACATACATATGTAGTGTTAATACTTACGAAATGACTCCAACGACAAGGAATAAGAAGAGCCACTTTTATTGAGTTGACATCATAAGGAACCCTATTACGGAATTACACAATAAGGGACCCTAGGCTTCTTTGGTGTCTTCCAGCTTGTGTCTTCCTCCGAACGACCCTACTCCTCGTGCTTTCCCCTTATATATCCCTCAGCCCCCTTTCTGAAATGTTCCCTCATCCTATTTATCTCGGCAAATCCCTGTACTTTCCCTCTAATGGATCCAAACCGTGGCCTCTTGGTTCTGCTTTGTTTCCTGCCTATTCTCATTAAAAACTTTCCCTCCAATCATTTCAAAAGCCTGCCTCCATCCCTGTTGAGACCTTGTTGACACTTTGGTTTATTTTTTTTAATAGCCGTTAGGATGCACCTTGGCTTGGGGTAATTTTCGGTCATTACACTTACACGATCTGGGGGTAGAAATGCCCACATGATCCCAGGTTACTGTTAAAATGACGTCACGAACGAAAAGAGAGAGAAGGCGGAGTGTGAGAGAAACGCCCAGCAGGGGAGTGGTGACGTCACTGAAAGAGGCAGGGCGATTGGGGCGCTTCCTGTTGGGATTTTGAGTTGAGTGGTCACACGCAGCGTGAGCTGATGTTGAAAATAAAGAGGAGTGTTTCATCTCAACTTTCATCCGGTGGACTCATTACACATACATACTTAATGGTCAAAGACAGTTGTACGTCGTACAGTGTACACGCTTTCCATCGCTGTACCACAGGAATGTACATATGGGAGGCTGATCGATGGCTCATTGTGCTCACAATTCTAGATTTAAAGCTTCCACTCCAGCGCTGTCCTCCAGACAGTCTCGTCCCTTCACCTGATGAAGGCCGCTTGTGTTGTGGCCGAAACGTCGTGATTTTTTGTTATTTTATTTTCACCTACGTGACTTTACCCAATAGAACCAAAGAGTATGTGCTCACAATGTTATTTATCTGGTTCCTGGGCAACGAGAGGTACAGCAACTGTGTACCCTTGCCATGATGTGCATGCACTTATCATTTATGTTTTTAGAACGCACTTCTCTGACGAGTTTCTTATTTTTTTTGAAAAAAACTATTTTAAAGTTTTTGTTGTAAAACATTGTAATTGTAATAACGTGCCTTTCCCTAGGCGATGTCTGGAGAGGACGAAGAGGAATGCAGAAGCCAGGCTGACGATGAACTTGCACAAAAGCTCAGAGATGTGGGTCTTGACACAGTTTACTGGAAACAGAAACTGCGTGAGGTTCTGCTCATTTCTAATGCACAGGCCCTGCTTCACCTCGACCAGCAGGACAGCAGAGAACTGGACTCACATTTCCGTAAAGAGTGGGAAAAGCGAGCATTTTATAAAATGCTTGGCATTGTTGCTGCTGATGGTGTTGTCAGTGCTAAAAAGGCAATGAGCTTGGCTCCACATATACAAATTGATAATCTGTTGCCTTCTGTCGTGTCTGAGAGAATTCACGAGCCTGCCCAAGAAATATGTCCATCTGTTTCAACACATTGTTTGTCAGATACAGAGATTTTACAAAACGCATCAGGGGGTCTTGCTCTAGAGGGGGTTTATATGAGTGGAAAGTTAGAGGATGCATTAGAAAAGAGAGGAAAACTCTTGACGAGCCCACAAACATTCCGGCTCGTGGGTCTGGTCGGCAGGTCAGAGACAAAACAACACGAGTTTATTTCTTTCAATGATGAATCCATGTTCAGGAAGACCATGGAAGTCATGGGCTTCAGCAGCACTGTCTCCGAGAAAGGATGCGTCTCGTCCTTGAGTAGAAAACCAGCCTTAATGCAAGTCAAATCAATGAATCTTAAGGAAATGCAAAATACTCAGACTGATCATTCCTATCTTTCCAGGACAGAGTTTACGTACCTGCCCCTAGCCTCAGGTAATCTTCATATGGCACAACTCAGGTTGTCTGAAGCAGCCCTGAAGGAGCTACAAATGATTGAGAATACGTTGGAAAATACAAAGGAAGATTTTAAAAGCAACGTGTTTTCCAGCATGAGCTGCAAATTCTTCCACAATTTTGGCTCTCACGCAAACGAGGGTCCTCTCCAATTTGGAGGAATTTTTTGGAGGAAGGCATCAGCTAAAGGTTTCAGTTTACATCAGCAAGATGAAATAAAACTGCTCTTGTCTGAGTTATTCGAACCAAACATTGGTGCCGACTGCGGCAGTAGTATAATGACTGACACAGGTACTGCAATGACAACTGAGCCAGCTCCAAGTGATTCTGGACATTACAGCCCGGTGCTCACCGATGTGATACAGATGACTGTAACCACAACAGGGGGTAATCCTGATGTACATAATCTCCCTCAGTGGGAATCTGCCATTGTTGTCAACAATAGGACATGGTCTCTCATCGACCGAGGAATCAGGTTTATACCAGTATGGGACATCATCCGGTCCAATCATAAATGCGATTTTAAAGATGTCCTGAAGTTGGCCAGTGATCTTCAAAAAGCTTACACCATTTTAACAAAAAAAGAAGTACATAATTATCCAGAGGATGAATTGGTTGACATAAATGTCAAAGCGCAATCGATAATGGAAGATGCGAAGCAGTGGAAAGAATCTGACAATGACACTCATCTGGAAATGCTGGCGGATCTAAAACAGAAGTTGTATGAATGCACAAAAACTAACAGGAGCTGGATTGACACGTGTCTCTCACACCCAGCCCTTCAGGAATTCTTGACGCGGATTGTATCGGCATACAAGCACTCTTCTTGTGACGAAACCGATTGGATAAAAATAAAAATGCGGTACCTATTGGAACCCAACATCTATGCAGTGGAGAACTTCCCCAAGCGCTCCTCGATAACGCAGTGGGTGTATGGGTCTGATACAGTCAGGGTTCTTGATGCTGAGCTAAATGCCCTTGGCAAGACATTTACAGAAACAATTAAAAGAAGCGATGGATGCACCGACTTCTTTTGAAACTGCACTGAATGAAGCAAAGGTGAAGGGAACCAATGAAATCACATTTTCCCTCAATTCCCTTTGCCGGTGCTTCCGAGAAATGGAGCGGATGGAGGAGGAGCTCCTGTTCATTTCATGTGCTGCTGCTTCAGGGTTCCGTACAAAGGAGAGATCGTTCGATCGCCTCCTCGACTATGAAGACGTTAACTGCCTTCAGCACCAAGTGGACGCGGCACACAGCGAGTACTCAGCTCTCAAATCTCAAAGTGCTCTCAAGGCTCAGGCGTACGTCCTCTTGAACGGTTTGACTACAGGAGTACAGTCTAATTCACGGACCCCCCTGGAAAAAGAGGAACATCTGACGTTCATGAAATCCTATTTGGATGCAAACATCTGCACCGAAGTATCAAACGTGGTGCTGGTCTATGATGGAGGCCCCATTGACTGGAACCGACTCGAGGAAACTTTGAAATCTCTTGTTGCTGGGACACTGACTATCACATTGGCTCCTTCGCAGACATCGAAGGTTGAGAGTGAAACAGAGGGGATGAAAATGTTTATGAATCTGTGTAAAATACTGGGGCTTCAAGAATACTACCCCAAAAAAATGCACACAAAGCATATGTGTGTTGTTAAGTCAGAAATACTTAAAGAAGCCCCAATCACAGAGGAAGAACTTGTTCTTCATTATTTGCGGAAAATGATGATGTTTGACTCCGAAGCACGGTATGTTAGTGTTCTGGGTGAAAATGAAAACAATGAAACCATGCAGAATGAAAACTCTAATTATGAAAAGTTTTTTAACCATGATGGTTTTGTGAATAGTCAAGATTGGTCTACGACAGAAACTCGAAGCCATGTTCACCCAATGGATTTGCAAATGGCAATTTTTCATTGTGGAGACAATTTTGTGAGGCAGTACATTTACACCAAACTCTCGTTTTGCCAGTTTGCACTGCCGCTTTTAGTTCCAAATCCTTGTAGCTCAGAAATAGAATTCCCTCTATGGGCATTCCGACAGATTAAAAAGAGCTGGAAATCCCGTGCTGCATCTACTGAGATACAGCAAACCAACCTCTGTGCGATTGTTAACGCTGACACTCCTCTAGTGTCATTCATTAGGTTTGGTGAATCACCCGCATCGAAATCTCAGATGCTGAACTCTCTGCTTGGAAAGCAAAAGAATGAAGTTTTCTTTCATAGACACTGCAGAGGCAGCAGCAAGAATGGTCTCCTAATGGAAGGAGTCACAGAGATCGCCTGGTACTGTCCAGGTGGGAGGGATGATGACGTCTTTAATGACTGCATAGCGTTCACAAATCTCCATGGAGATGCGAGCGAGCACAAAAAGCAGGTGCAGTTTCTCCTCGAGATATCCACTGTCAACGTGATATTAATGTCAGATTATGATAACAATGATGAAGCTAAAAGCATTTTGGTAGATTGTCTAAATTCTCCAAAGCCTTTACTTTGCCTTTGGGCTGACAAATAACGAATCTTGGGTGGACATTATAAAACAAAGGTAAAAATTGGTGTCAAGAATAGAAATGAGGCTGAACTAATGGATGAATTGAAGTCAACTCTCAAATATATGTTGGCCACTTCAAAACAAACGGTTACAATTAATGATTGCTCAGACATCGCTAGACAGTGCGGCTTCAGTGTTGATGAAGATGATGAACAATGTAAACAAGGCAAGTCTATGGCAGGCGTCTTATTGAGTCTTCTGAAGGACAAGCCATTGTCTTCCATGAAGGAGACTTTTCTGCCTCTTCAAGGTAAATTGTGGCACGAGTGGTGCAAGAAAGACAAATAATTCGCTCGCTTGAGAGTAGAGGGGGACCAAAGCGTGGAAGAGTACAGGGACAACATTGCAATTGAAAAACAATCAATACGGGAAGCCCAGCTTCACAAAGCATCTCCTCTCAATAAATTAATGAGATCGTTCATTGATAATATGGGGCATCATGCAGACTCAGTAAAACAATACTCACTGCATTGGCTACAAATCTATTTAGATAACCTGTCTGCAGGTAGCATATCACAACTTCATCAGGAGTATCACCAGGCTCCGAAAGGAATACTTGAGTCCAGGAGAACAGTTATTGGCAGTAGGTTACTGTCTATACAACAAGCAGAGCTGGAACGAATATCAGAAAAACGTGAGGCATCCTCTTTTGGAATCCATCACCTTTTCAGGGAAGTTGGGCAGATCTATGAAGCGTCACAGACACCGCGCACAGCTGACAAGCCCTCGGCTGCTTTACCAGGCATCGCAGCAGATTTGATGCTCTCTGGGTTCCCTCTTGAACTCATGGACGATGATGCCTCACATGTCCCCCTCACTTGGAATTGCTCAGTTTTGGATGAAGTTATTGAAAAAATTGGGAACAAAAAACTATTTGTCCTCTCCATACTGGGCATACAGAGCAGTGGCAAGTCCACGCTGCTGAATGCAATGTTCGGTCTCCAGTTCCCTGTGGGTGCTGGGAGATGCACCCGAGGGGTCCACATGCAGTTGGTGAAGGTGGACGAAGAGTTCAGCAATGAGCTGGGATATGACTTTGTGTTGATAGTCGACACAGAAGGGCTCTGTGCCCCAGAGCTATGAAATGCGACACACACTCTTGACAATGAACTGGCTGCATTTGTGATCGGCCTTGCAAACATGACTGTGATCATTACTTTTGGAGATAATCCCTCTGAGATGCACAACATAATACAGATCGCTGTGCAGGCATTTCTGAAAATGAAGCAGTTGAAGTTGTCACCAAGCTGTGTGTTTGTCCATCAAAACGTCGGGGATGTGACTGTAAAATAAAATGTCATGGATGGAAGGAGACTCTTCCAGGATACGTTAGACGAGATGACTCGCACGGCTGCAGAACAGGAGCAGTACAAAACTATATCATTTAACGAGGTGATTGGGTTCGACGTTAACTCTCAGATCCATTTCTTTTCTCACTTTTGAGAAGACGATCCTCCAATGGCTCCGTCAAATCCAAGCTACTTTCAACATGTAAAAAAAAACTTAAAGACAGCATCATAAAGACAAAAAATCAGGTTTTAAAAATATCAGAATTGAAAAATCGTATCCAAGATTTGTGGAATGCATTGCTTTCAGAAGACTTTGTGTTTAGCTTCAATAACTCCCACGAGATTGCAGTTTACAGCAAACTTGAAGACATGTATAGGAAATGGACTTGGAGCCTTAGGAGTCATCTTATTCAAGAGGAGAATAGGATATAATATTACTAATAACAGGACAGACGTAAATTTCGATTTAAAGCTTTCGTGACTGCAAGGATTCATCTTCTTTGGTTCTTTCAGTAAAGTCACGTAGAATGAGAATATAATAATAAAATAAAATGAGACGATAAAATAAACACGACGTTTCGGCCACAACACAAGTAGCCTTCATCAGGTGAAAGAACAGAACTGTAGGGACGACAGTGCTCCAATGAACGTTGGTAAGATGCGTAGCGTCTTTTTAAGCTCGGTGAGAGGCGTGAAACCTGTTGACAAAGGAGTTTAAGTATCAAAGCAGGAGAATTTAGCATTGAAATAGCTGAGGGATTATCTTGTGACAGAAATAGCTATGATAAAGTCAGAGTTTATCTATCAACAGAGGCATTTAGTATATGGACGCTAAAGGCCTCCAACCACCCAACTTTCATACAGTAAACCGATGTGAAAAGAACTAAGTCTATATTACATAATATAATAAATGTACTTAATATATTCTTCAATAAGCTGGGCTATTAATCACAAAGCAACTGGGTATACAATACACTATATAATGAGTGTCTTTTAAGCTCGGTGAGAGGCATGAAATGTCTTGACAAAGGAGTTTAAGTATCAAAGTAGGAGAATTTAGCATTGAAATAGCTGAGGGATTAGCTTGTGACAGAATGAGCTATGTTAAAGTAAAAGTTTACCTATCAACAGAGGCATTTAGTATATGGACGCTAAAGGCTTCCAACTACCAACTATCATAAAGTAAACCGATATGAAAAAAACTAAGTCTATATTACATCAATATAATAAATGTACTTAATATATTCTTCAATAAGCTGGGCTATTAATCACAAAGCAAATGGGTATACAATAAACTATATAATGAGTGTCTTTTAAGCTCGTTGAGAGGCATGAAACGTCTTGACAAAAGAGTTTACGTATCAGAGCAGGATAATTTAGCATTGAAATAGGTCCGGTTCAATACAGTACACAATATTCGTGATCTGATCCCATCCGTGAAGGATGTCATTCCTGACTTACAGTACCCGGGGGTTTACAAATTGAATTGTACCTGCGGCGATTGCTATATCGGGGAGACTAAGGGACATGTCTCTAACCGAATTCGCGAGCACAAATCAGATTTGAAACACGGCAGAACGAATTATTCTGCCGTAGCTGATCACTGTGTAGTGGAGTAGATAATGCGCATAGGAATTGGCCATTTACAGTACATACAGACAGACAAGGAGAACGGGTCACACGAGGTCGAACAGGTGGTCGAGTCGCGAGTGGCGTAAACAAACCCAAGTAATTAAGGGAGTCGTGGCACGAGGGCTGTGATTGGTCGAGAGGCTGTTAGCGTTAAGTGGTGGCGTCTGAATGTCTGATGAAGGGGACAGATGCGGGCTGGCGGGAAACGGCCAGCGAGCCACGTGGCAATTAATTCAGGCTAATGCGAGAGGGGATAAACGCGAGGTGGTTTGAACCGAGGGGAGTTGCTGTTGGAGAGTTGCTGCTGGGGAGTTGTTGCTGGAGAGTCGTTGCTGGGCAGTTGTTGGCGAGAGGTGAAGAGATACGAAGAAGACAGCTGGAAATGTTATGGAAGAATAGATAGAGAGCCGGACCCCAAAGACAGTAAATAGCGATAGGGAGAGTCAGCGTTAGCGGAGATAGAGTCACTGTGTGTGAATAGATGGAAGTCACTGCGTGTGAAGAGATAGCGGCGATACTGTGTGTGAGGAGATAGAAGACGAACCACTGTGTGTGGAAGAGATAGAAGACGAACCACTGTGTGTGGAAGGGAAGACACTGTGTGTGAAGAGATCGGCGAAGAAACACTGTGTGTGGAAGGGGATGCACGGACGATGCTGAAGTAAATCGGAGTGTCCGAGTTGGCGGAGCACGGAGAGAATTACTGTGTGTACGGAATTATGGAATAAAAGTGACGGCGAAAAAAGGGACGGTTGTCGTCCGAGTGAATTCACGGCGCTACAACTGTTACAACGCTGTGGGTGATCACGATATCATTTTCTCCGATACCAAGGTTCTTTGAAAACCCACGGGTTTTTATCAGAGATTTGTTCACGAGGCAATTCAGATTTACAAACACAGACACAATTTCAACCGAGAAGATGGTTTCAAATTAAGCAACCATTGGAAAGATATTCTAAATCGAACCAAACAGTAAACTAATTTTCAATGGTACAGTATATATTTTTTTTCAAGTAGTGGTACCCCAAATTTTCGCAGCTCTTAAAATTCCCTTTTCACACCATCGAAGTGTATACCCAGTTGCTGTTAATAGCTCAGCTTATTGAAGAAGATATTGAGTACATTTATTATATTGATGTAATTTAGACTTAGTTTTTTACATCGGTTTACTGTATGATAGTTGGGTAGCACAGCCCCTTTGGCGTCCATGTACTAGGTGCCTCTGTGGATGTGTAAACTTTTACTTTAACATAGCTATTTCTGTGACCAGTCACAAGCTAATCCCTCAGCTATTTCAATGCTAAATTCTCCTGTTTGATATGTAAACTCCTTTGTCAAAGTGCCTCACTTCTCTCACCCAGCTTAAAAAGACGCCACGAATCTTAGCAGTGTTCATTGAAGCTCTGTCGTCCCGACAGTTCTGTTCCTTCACCTGAAGAAGGCTACTTGTGTTGTGGCCGAAACGTCGTGATTTTTGTTGTTTTATTTTTTACCTACGTGACTTTACCGAATAAAACCAAAGAGTATGGATCCTTGCAGTCAAGAAAGCTTCAAATCTAGAACCAGTGTAATATTTACGCAACCCATCGGCACTCGCCCACACCCTCAAGCAATGTGGGGAAAAATCCCACAGAACCGGTTTGGCCGTTGAAAGGGAGAGGTGTCAGTCGTTTCTCGACGCCTCTCTACACAGCAGCAGCAGCGTTTTGCAATGCGAGGCTCTCTTGAGTGTTGCAGTGCCGTACAACTCCAAAGTACGTGAGGCAACCAAGAACAGAATAAGTCTGAGAGGAGATGGAGCGATGAAATCATCCCGTGTGCAGGTACTGGGAGGATTCTCGCGTCGCAGATACGTGAGAGATGGTTATGGCTCGGGGAAGTCTTCATCCAGCAGTTGATCGCTCATGGCATGTGATGGTTAATGTTACGTCTCATGTTCTTAGCACGACACGTGTTGGAGTGACATGGGGCAGCACGTTTTAACACGTAGTCTTTCGCGACCAATATCATCCATAATAGAGGTTTTTTGGGGTTAGATGGCATATCTATATAAAT